GGCGCGGGCAGCAGCTAGGCGCGGGGCAAGGGCAGGGAGCGTTGGAGCGGCGAGGACGGGCCCTGATTCTCGGGGCGCGCCCCGGCCTTGACGCAGCTGCCGGTATTACGGCTGGCGCCGTTATCCCACGCGCCTGTAGTTGCCGCCCCCGCGAGCATTCTACGCGTGGCTACGGGCCCCCATGCGCTGTGCGCCGCGGGCCGCCACCCAGGCCCGGCCGGGCACACCTCCTTGGTCCGCGCGTCGAAGGCCTGCGGGCTCGTGGCCAGGTGGAGCACGCCCAGATCGTCGAAGCTCGACCTTTTGCTGCACAGCGACTCGCTGTCCTGGCTGCACGCGCCCTGCTTGTCCTGCTTGTACTCGCTGCGGAAGCTGGACGCCGCCGCGAGCATGCTGCTCAGTGACTGGTAGCTGCGCTGCGCCCCCAGGCCCTGCACCCCCCCGACCTTGAGGCCCTGCGCCTCGGCGCGCGCCGCGAGGGCGAGCAGCGCGAGCAGCAGCGGCAGCATGCGCAGCTTCGGGGGCGGGGCGTCGCGCCGCCGCGCGTAGAGCACTGCGGCGGCGACCGCGCCGCTGCGCGCGGCGCGCGGCCAGCTGCTTGAGCCTACACGGAAGGGATCGGAGAGTGGTCAGCAAGTCTTCATCGAAGCGATCATGGCTCCCTGTTCCACTGGGCGGCCACCACCCTCCGAGTGCAGGCAATCGCTGTCCTGCCCAGTGTCGCATCGGCGCCGGGCACGCGACATCAGACCAGGGTTGCCGGATCCTTCCAAAACAATTGTCATCCCAACGAAGCTTTTCGGAGCCCCGCACTCCGTCCTTTGGTCGGGCGCCATCGGGGCACCACACAGTCCCCCTCATCCTTGGGCAAACTCACCTGCTGCGTCTACTTTGCAAGTCACATTGATATCTTTGTTGTTTTCAGCCGTCTTAGCGACGCCCGTGCCCCACGAAAGCTCCATGATCAGGGCAAAGTCATCTGCCCATGCGCCGCAGCCTGGTCCAAATTGCTATTACAGCTCCGCTTCCCTGAACAGCTGTTACCTCGGGGTAAAAGTGGCAGCCACAGGCCTCGTAACTCGCGAGCGCGGTGGTGGCCAGTGCCGCGATTCACAACTTGGGTGTCTTAGCACAGCTGGTGAATCGCTGAGATGCAGTGTGCATGTGGTGGATCATTCGAAACGACGCAAAATCACTGCTGTCATGGGCTGACGGCAGCTTCGGGCTGGCTTCCCCTGCAAGTGCGCATGGCCAATGCCAGAGGTCGCAAGACGGCCACCCTCGGCGGGCAGCACCTCGGCCGGCGACACTGTCATGAGATGGTCCTTCATCATATGCCATCGGAAGTATCACATCGTAGCCCAGCGGATGGCGCAGCACCAGGATGTTGGCCCAGCAGCACTCTGCTGGCTCCACCTCCCCCATGGCGAGCCGCCATTAATGACCTTGCGTGTGCCATTCTAAGTCGGCCCCGTGCCACTGATGTTGTTGCACAATGCAGAAAAATTGGCTTGGCCCTCGTACAGCTCGCACGCGGCCAAGAAAAACCACTGCTGCATCGCCCACAGGCTGCATCGATGCAGCTATGCGCGCTCCGAACTCGTGCGCATGTGCATGCACCCAGGCACTTACACACGCGCGCATGAGCGAATGCGCGTACATGTGCGCGCGTGCATGCACACATGCACACGCACGCACACACACACGCGCACGCACGCGCGCACACACACACACACACACACACACACACACACACGCACCCACCCACGCGAATGTTCCATATATGTGGGAGTCGCGCGCGCGTGTGGGAGTGAAAAGGAAGAGGGAGAGGAGAAAAGTGCGCGGGCGCTGCTGGCGGCGCCCTGCGGGCGCCGCCAGCGGCGGCGCGCTGCGCCGAAGGCGCAGCCCTGGCAGCCTGGCGCCGCAGGCGCCTGGATGGGTTATAACCCAAATAAACGTAAGGGTAGGTTGCTTACAATGTGCATACTTGCACTGCTAGCTCCAACCTGGAAACT